TATCACTGCATCTATGCACTACACAGAGTCTACAATATCTGCCACTGAATCAACAGTTATTCCTTCTAACAATCCATCGGCTGCTTTAGGAATTGGAGTAGGAATTGGTTCAACAGTCATACTCTTAGTTCTAATATTATTAATACTTTTTGTATTAATAGTATTTATTATTAGATTGAAGAGATGTACTACAAAAAACAGCTCTTATTATGAAAGTACTGTCATAAGCTCAACTGGCAATTATGTATTAGCTACTGAAATTGAATGCTCACTAACTCTTCCTGTATCAAGTGATGTGGTAAATAGTAACTATTAACAGACTTTAATTTTTATTTGTTAATGATACCAGATAGCTGGTAGTAATGAAGATTTTAATATGTCCACAAATGAATCATATTCTAAAGTTAAAGGGCATTCCTCTGTTTTTAAGATGTCGAACAATGAATCTTACATAAAAAAAGAAGTAAGAAAGGACTCTAAATTTAAATAATATTTTTCTATTCTCTTTAGGATATAAGAATACCTTTTTATGAGCCTGCGAATGATAGGATTAAAATAATTGCTCAAATAAAGAAGTCAAAATCTGTACTGATTCAATTTGATAGCTTGAGGTATCATAACTAATTTATAATTTTTTAAATTTACTTGATTTTGAATCCAAGATTAACCAGCTCACTAGGATCTGGTCAGTTTGGTAATGTGTGTAAGGGACAGTGGAAGAAACCTAATGGAGATACCATTGATGTAGCAGTTAAGATGTTACAAGATGGAGCAAGTGAACAAGAGAAGATCAAGTTCTTACAGGAAGCTGCTATCATGAGTCAATTCACTCATGATAATGTCATTAAACTACATGGAGTAGTCAGTGATGATGAACATGTAAGTATAGCTGATCAGCTTTTTGTTTTTATACTCATTTTGTGCAGCCCATGATTGTGATTGAGTATATGTCTAAAGGTGATCTTGATCACTTACTGCAAAAAATGATAACAAAGTAATCAATAGATTATCAAATACTTTAGTCAATATATCACTTTAGTCCTGGTGAGCTGGTTCATCATGATACTCCTGCACTTCTTTTAAGTTTCTGTCAGCAAGTGTGTCTAGGAATGACTTACTTGTCCAGCAAAGGATTTGTTCATCGTGACTTAGCAGCAAGAAACATTCTTGTATCTGCTAATAATATTTGCAAGGTAAAGATTATCAATTGACCAATGTTTTTACACTTTCTGATGCATTTTGATGTCCTTATGCTATGTAGAAAGTTTGAGCCAATTCAGACTTTAATTTTTTGAGTTATGGCCATTAAAAAAATATCCAAATTTAAAAAAGTACCCAAGGCTATAGCCCATT